GGGCAAGTGCCGGCCATCCCCCCGGCCAGGGGCATTTCGGAGAGGGCTGCGGAGGAGCTCCGGGCGTGCCGCTGTCCCGGTTCAGTCAACAGCAAATCTTCCCCCGACGCCGGCAGCAACGAAATTAACCCCCGGGAGTCAGAAAACGAAACGTTTTCCTAATCGGGGCGTAGGAGAAGGGCGGAAACGGTAACTGAGTGGGAGCTACATCAAACTAACATGCACTCCCCCGCCTTTTAATTCCTGTTTTCGTAAAAGCAGAGAGATTTGGTGAGGGAGGGAAATGTGTTTTCTCCGGAAAGGCAAACTGCTCTGGGGTACAGAGAGCACCAGGTGCGAGAGCGTCCCGCACGGCCTCCGTGCCCGCCTCAGACGGGGCCGTGGGAAACGCGACCCGCTCGTAACCCGAAGTGCGATCGCAGCGGCACGACCGGCCGCCGCTGGCGGCTCACGGGACGGATTTGGTTTTAGAGGCTTCTCGGAACGGAAACCGTGCGGTTTCAAACGTCGGATTTTAATTAATGGATGCACTCTAAGGCAGTGCCCGGTTTCGAATTCTCACAGAGTTTGGTACGGAAACTGGATGTACTTTTCTCCTGCGTAGCGTTATCGTGAAAGAATATTAATTCTGGCGCTTCCCTCGACTTCGCTGACCTGGCCGGCAACACAGAATCGGATTCATGATATGAAGACTGGTTAAATCAGTATTATGTATTTTTCTTGTGGGTTTATTAGAAGGCTATTAGCTTTCATGGTTCACGGCTATTAGTTTTTGCTACCTCTGCTTGCTTTTAGTTTAATTCGGACATTTGACAGCCGCGGTTTTAGTGTAAAAAGAGTTATAAATGTCAGCGTTACAGTCAGGCAGTTGTTGATCCCATGCAGGAAACACAGAGCACGGCCAGTATTATGTATTTTTCTTGTGGGTTTATTAGAAGGCTATTAGCTTTCATGGTTCACGGCTATTAGTTTTTGCTACCTCTGCTTGCTTTTAGTTTAATTCGGACATTTGACAGCCGCGGTTTTAGTGTAAAAAGAGTTATAAATGTCAGCGTTACAGTCAGGCAGTTGTTGATCCCATGCAGGAAACACAGAGCACGGCGTTACAAGGAAGCTCTCGGCGCTGTCCGTGTGGTTCACGGCTACTAGTTTTTGCTACCTCTGCTTGCTTTTAGTTTAATTCGGACATTTGACAGCCGCGGTTTTAGTGTAAAAAGAGTTATAAATGTCAGCGTTACAGTCAGGCAGTTGTTGATCCCATGCAGGAAACACAGAGCACGGCGTTACAAGGAAGCTCTCGGCCGGCTGTCCGTGAGACGGGTGCTGCCACGGCCGGGTTGT